TGAGGTCACTATGAGAGTGTAGAGTGAAAAAAAGAAGGCCCAGGACAGGACCCTTGGGGTACATCCATTGTTCTGGCTGATGAGCTGACAAAGATGACTGAGAATAAGTGGCCAGAGAAGTAGGAAGAACATTGGGAGAGAACAGAATCATGAAAACCCTGAGATGAGGGTGTGTCCAGAATAGTGATCCCCAAAGTGCTCCAGTAGTGACAGCTTGAATTAAGCACTTGATGCTGACCTTGGAAATGACGGTTTTAATCAATGAGTGAGACCAAAGGAGGAAATGACCTTAAGTGACAGCCACTAAGTGTCTAAGGTCAGATTTGAACTCAGGTCTTCCTGCCATTGTACCATTTGGCTGCCTCCAAAGGAACAGAGAGAAAGAGATGGGGAAGATTTGATGTTGAGGGGACTTAAGCAGGGGGAGTGGAGATGACTCAGTTCATGAGAGATGGCCAGGTCCTTTGATAAGGAGTGGGGAGGGGATGATGTAGATGACTCAAAAAGATGGCTCAAGGGGTGGATCAGATCAAGGGTATGGCCATCCTTGGGTTTGGTTGTGGCTGAATGAAGATGCAGATCCTGGGAGTGGAGGTAGCTGATGAACTGGGAAGCCATTGAGGGGAGGAGGGGACATTCACACGTATCTTGAAGTTCCCAGATACGAGAGTAGGAGTTGAGGTGGAGAGGATGCTACTAGGTGGGCCCTCAACTCCTTGAGAAAGATGACAGACACCAGGATCCACACGGGGTGATCTGAATGAACTGAGCCTTATTGAAGGAGGCTGTTGGATAATGGTGGCCTGTGGGGAATTTGCAGATGGCATGACCTCTTCTGGGTCAGCTTTGGCCCCTCCCTCACACAACTGTCTCACTACATTAAGCCTTTCCCCAGAACCTGCAAATAAAAGTGTGTGTGTGTGTGTGTGTGTGTGTGTGTGTGTGTGTGTGTGTGTATGATGTGGTCCAATCTGAGCTTTAGGAAAATCTCTGGGTAGCTGTGAAGTAGAAAAAGCCTTGAGGTGGAGGGGATGGCTTGGAAGGCTATTGTGAGAAGGGTCTGTGTGGCTCTGGGAGTGGAGGGAAGAGGATGCACACAAACGGTGCTGGATTTGTGTAGCAACAAGGAGTGTGGGGTATGACACAGGCTGCAAAGATGAGTGTCTGGAAGGATAGCAAAGCTCTTGATGCAAACATGAAAGTTAGAAGGGATGGGTGTTGGGGAAAAAAGAATAGGCTGTTTTGTTCAGGTTGAGTTTGGGTTATCTAGAAGGCATCTGGTCTGAAATGTCTAAAAGGCAATTGGTGATGAGGGACTGAAGCTAGGGGGAGAAAGGGGCTGAGTTTGTGGACCTGGGAATCTTCATGGAGATGCTACATAAAGCTGCTGGGAGGTGATGAGGGCACCCAGAGAGATGATAGGGCAAGGATTCTTAGCCTGGGGCCCAAAGACTCCCAAGGGATCCCTGGATAAATTGTAGGGGTTCCATGAAATTCAAAAGGAAAAAAATGACATTTATATTTTCACTAACTTCTAATTTGAACTTCATCCTTTCTCTCAATTATTTAATAAACATGATTTGAAGAGGGGTCCTTATGCTTCACCAGACTGCCAAAGAGGCTCCTAGCACAAAACAGTTAAGAACCCTTTTAGATCAGATGACCCAGGATAGGACGTTGGTGAGACCCCTAGTTAGGGAATTTATTGTGGGTGAAGATCTAGCAAAGGAGACCAAGAAGGAGCAGCTGGACAAGTAGGAGAACCAAGAGAGAGCCAGGTCATTAAAGTCTGGAGAGGACAGACTATGCGGGAGAGGCTGGTCAGCAGTGCCACATGTAGCAGAGAGGTCAAGAATGACGAGGACGGGAAAAGACCATCTGGTTTGGCAAATGAGAGACTGGGGGTAATTTTGGAAGGAGCCATTTCATTTGAATAATGAGGTCAGAAGCCAGCTTTCAGAGGATTTGGAAGAGTAAGAAGTGAGGGAATGAGGGCCAAGAGTATACGAAGCTTTGTCAAGGAATCGGGGCCTGGAACATAGTAGGCACTTAGTAAATATTTGTTGATTGAATTTGGTGGTGAGACAAGGAAAGCTAGTGTGAGAGGTGACTATTTGCTTTCCAGGATTCAGCTTCTGTTCTACTAGTAACCCTTCTTTTTTGACTCCCCCCTTGCTCTTTCCTGGACTCCTCAGTTTCCTTTTGATCCACTGGTGGTAGGAACCTGGATCCATCTGGCAGTGTCCAGCAATGATCCTTAACATTCTTACCAATTGCATGAGAGACCCCACCCTAGCACACACTGGCAAAGGACAGGGGAGGGTCAAGGAGGATGTTGTTCCCCCCCCCGCCCCCTGGGTGCTTGCCTTTCTTGTCCAAGTACCTCATTGCCCAAGGGTACCATTTCCCTCATTGACACGTTCTCTGTCCGGTGGAACAGGATGTCTGTCTCCTGTGTAAGGCTAGAGATCAGGCATTCCATTCTGGAACATGAGGATAGATGTTGGGCTAGAAGGGACTCCTAGAGGTCATCTGGTCTGACTACCTTATTTTATTGATGAGGAAACACACCTAAGGAGGCTAAGTGACTTGCAGGTCACACAGGTGGCAAATATTAAAGTTGGTCCTCTGACACCAAATGGGAGCAGATCAGGAAACTGACTGATGGGAGCTTCGTATTTTTGCTATTTTTATTTTCTAGGTGCTAGCTTTTTATTCTTTTTATTCTGGCTGATGGACTAAAAGCGCTATTAATGCTCCTTTAGATCTCAGTGCCCTAGAACAAGACCCCAGTGGCCCTATCCTAGGTATAGCTGCGGCCTGATTCTGATTCTACTCCTTAGTCCTCTACTTTTTGCGCCAAGCTTTGGGCAAGTCATTTTCATCCTGGGCCTCAGTTTCCTGGTCTGGAAAATGTAGGGGTCGAACTAGATAACTTCTGAGGTCCTTTACTGCTCAATAGCTGACGATTGGTGATGCAGACAAGGAACAGTCAAGATAACTTGGTGCTAGCAGTTTCTGGTGGATACAATAGCAGGTGAAGCTGGATGGCTCAGTGGATAGAGCACAGAGCCTGGAGTCAGGAGCACCTGAGCTCAAATCTGGCCTCAGACACTCACTAGCTGTGTGACCCTGGGCAAGCCACTTCACCGTGTCTGCCTCAGTTTCCTCATTTGTAAAATAAGCTGGAGAAGGAAATGATTCCATTCCAGTGTCTTTGCCAAGAAAACCCCAAATGAGGTCACAGAAAGTTGGACAGGATTGAACAACAACATGGAATGGCAGGAATCAGAGAGCTGAAGGAGGTAGCGAAGAGATCCAGAGGAGCAGTGACAATGACAGGGTCAGTGGAGAAGGGAGGACCAGGACTGGGGCAGGCCCTTCCAAGGACTGAGGCCAGTCTGAGCAGATTCTCCCCAGTGATTGTCCCTCCACCTCTACTGGAACAGATGTTCCTGAAGCAGAGCCCAGCCCCTGCAGACCGTCAGTGCTGCCCTCCAGCGCAGAGCCTAGCCCCCCGCCAGTGCTGCCCCCCAGCGCAGAGCCTAGCCCCCCCACCAGTGCTGCCCTCCAGCGCAGAGCCCAGCACCCCCCACCAGTGCTGTCCCCCAGCGCAGAGCCTAGCCCCCCCACCAGTGCTGCCCTCCAGCACAGAGCCTAGCCCCCCCCACCAGTGCTGCCCTCCCTCGCAGAGCCTAGCCCCCCCACCAGTGCTGCCCCCCAGCGCAGACATCGGGGGATGGAGGGAGGTGGCCAGCTCATTCTCAGTCCGCTCGGCTCAGATCCATGAATGCTGACCTCAAGCTCTCCCTGACTTTCTCCAGGGCCCAGGCCATGCTCCTTGGGCTCATGTGTCGTCCGTCTGTTGGGGCATGTGCCGTGTCCAGGCATGGGCTGTGACTGGGCGGGCGAGGGGCTGGAGGGGGGGCCATGTCTGGCCACAGGGCTAACACACTCTCTCATTGCTTTCTTCTTGCCCCCATCTGCATGTGGCTGCTCTGTCTAGATGGGCGGTGGGTCCCGAGCGCCGGCTGTGTAAGTGAGCATGCCCCATCCCATGCCTCTCACCATTCCACGCGGGCCGGGCCGGGCCGGGCCGGGGGTGGCTGGGGGCCAGGCAGGCGAGCTTGGGGTTGGTGGCGCAGGTGGAGCTGCATGAGGCTTTGGTAGCTGCGTTGTGTGTTGTGGGCGCTGCCTCACCTCTTTGCCTTTGGCCCCTGGGGCCGGCGGGCGGGCGGCCAGGCGTTGGGGGCGGAGCCATTATCTGGACAGGCCCGGAAGTGAGGCAGCCGCTGTGCAGTGCGCCTAGCCTGAGTGTGTGTCTGGCATGAGCACTAATGCAGCCGCACTTGCTGTCTTTCTGTCTGTTGCACTTCAAGCCCACCTGATACAACTCTCCTAAGTCCCCGCAGGAAGGCAGGTGGGGAGGGGGGGGTGGGTCTCAGGGTTTCAGGGACCACCGTCCTGGCAGTACCTAAGGATTAAGTGTCCACGGGGCTCCCTGGACCGGAGGGAGGGAATTCGAGTGGATGGATGTAGGCGTCAAGGTCCATGGGGACTACTGGCCTTGCAGGATCAGTGCCGGAGGGATCACTGCCCCTGGGAAATCACGAGCAGGAGAGGGGAGGGTCAAGCGTTTAGAGATCTGCCACGAAGCCCGGGCCCGGTCCAGGAGTCCATTTTGAGATGCCATTTAGCCTTCGTAACAAAGGCCACGGGGGGAGGAGGGAGAGACGCGGGGCTCTGTCTTCTGCCTGGGCTCGTCTAGACATTCCTACACCATTAGGCCCGAGTAGCAGGGGGGGACAGGGCCACAGGAGGAGCCAGGTGGCTCCCAGCCCGTCAGCCTAGGTCTCTGGAGGCCCCCTCCTGTCTTCCTCCGCCCCTGGCCTCCCCAGGACCCTGGTATCTTAGTGCAATCCCGCTTTCCCCGCTACACTGGCCCCTGGCCCTACCCCCACCTCGCCTCGTCCCTGCCCTGACCCTCTCCCTCCCCGCAGGCTCTTCAGCAGCCTCGGCGAGCTGAGCACCATCTCGCAGCAGCCGTCGCCCCAGCCCCAGCAGCAGCAGCGCGGCGGAGTGGGGCCCCCGGGGCCCGGGGCCTCGTACACCGTCCGGCCCGGCAGCCGCTACCCCGTGGCCCGCCGGACGCCGAGTCCCGTGAAACCGGCGTCGCTGGAGCGCGCCGAGGGGCTAGGTACAGGTCCCGGAGGCGGTGTGGGGCGGCCCTTCGGCCTCACTCCACCAACCATCCTCAAGTCGTCCAGCCTTTCCATCCCCCACGAGCCCAAAGAGGTGCGCTTCGTGGTGCGTAGCGTCAGCGCGCGGAGCCGCTCGCCATCTCCTTCGCCCACTCCGGCCCCTGGCCCCCCAGGGCCTGGGCCCGGGCCCGGGCCGGGCCTGGGCGCTGCCCCTGGCCCCGCCCGCCCCTTCCAGCAGAAGCCGCTGCAGCTCTGGACCAAGTTCGACGTAGGCGACTGGCTGGACAGCATCCACCTGGGCGAGCATCGGGACCGCTTCGAGGACCACGAGATCGAGGGCGCTCACCTGCCCGCGCTCACCAAGGACGACTTCGTGGAGCTGGGCGTGACGCGCGTGGGCCATCGAATGAACATCGAGCGCGCCCTCAAGGCGCTGGCCGACAGCTGACCGCGCGCCCCCGGCCCCCTCCACCCCGCCGGGCGCCCTGCCGGCAGGGCCCCCACCCGCGTGACGCGAGCTGGGTCCCGCCCCCGCGGGGGCTCGTGGGCCAGCCTCTCCGCGGACAGGCCCACCTTGTCCCCGCCGCGCAACTCCACCAGACGTCGGTCAGGCCCCGCCCCTCCCCTCTTTTCCCGGAGCCCCTCCCTATGCCCGCCCGCCCCTTCTTCCCTCCCCCACCTCAGTATCCCCCAAGCCCGCGTCGCGGCCCCGGGGCCGGAATGTTGCATGAATCGTCCTGTTTGCTGTTGCTCGGAGAGTCGCCCTGTACATTGCTTTTCGCCCCCGCCCCCCTGCCCTGCCCCCTCTACCCCAGCACGTGGTCTTGAAGGGCGGGGCGGGGCGGCCCGGCATGCGGGGGCCGGGCGGGGCTGAGCAGGGCCCCCCTCCCCCCGGGTTTGCATATTTTTAATCTGCTCTATATTTGGAAGGAGAAAAGGAACAAGCGTCTCTGTCCCGCCCCCACCCCCGGCCCGGCCCGGCCCGGTTCGGTCCAGCGCAGCCCAGTTCAGCTCTACTCAGCTTAGCCGCGTCGGGCCGAGCGGGGTCCGCCGGAACCGGGTGCGCCAGGGCCCGCGGCCGCCACGTCTTCCACCTCCCAGCGCCTTGCGGGGCCCGGCCTCACTGCCACCCGCCCCCGCGGCCCCGGCCCGGCCCGGCGCGGAGGAAGGGGGGCCGGGTCCGCTCCAGCTGGTCTGGGCTCTGCCATCGCCCCCCCCCCCCCCGCTGAGCTGGTCCCGGCGCGCCGCCCCCCCATCCCCCTTCAGGTGCTGCAGGAAAGGACGAGTGAGGCCTCGCGCCCTCCGATCCTGCTCCGCCCCCAGCACACTAGGGGCCGCGGCTGGCTTGGGAGACAATAGCCAATAAGGGGGGCAGCGAGGACCCCCACCCTCCCCCGTCCCCCCTCGGGGTCCCCACTCCAAGCCCCTCCTCTCAGTCTCGTTTCACTGTCTCTGCCCCTGTCCCCCTCCCAGGGCCTCTCCTCCGGATTCAGCAGTCACCAGAGGAGAGGGTCTTCCCCGTCTCCCAATGCAGCTGCCAGTGTCTCGGATCCCTGAAGAGGCCCTCCACACCCTCCCCCGATTCCACCCCTGCCTCGGTGAGACTGTGTGTGAAGCCGCGAGGCTGTGCGCAAGTGTGCCGTCGGGGGCTTGACGTGCGTGGGCATGCAGTTGGCGATCAGGGTTGAGACTGGGCACTGTGCCCCTCAACGGTGGGCTAGACGGAGTGAGATTGTCTGGGAAACAATTGAGGCTGTGAAGGCACGTGTGCGTGAGTGTGCACGTGCGAGAATGTACCTGGGTGAGAGACCAGCAAGCTGTTTGGGATTGGTTGCGAGTGCACGCCCGAAATGGGTTGGGACAATGGGGGCTGAGCTGCTGACAGGCCGGCCCGGGCCGCCGGGTCTATTGACTGCGTGAGTGTCTATGAGTGTGAGTGTGTGCGCACAGGCTTGGGCCCCCTCGCCAAGGACCTGCCGGGTTCCCCCAAAGCTCAAGGAGGAATCTGGGGGCGGGGAGGAGGGATAGTTTTGTTTATTGGATTCATCTTCCTCTGTTGGGAGAGGCCCAGGCCAAGGAGTTCTTGCACCATGGGAGGGGTCTACGCGTGACCCCTTCCCTCGGAGCAACCCTCCCATCAGCTCCTAGCAGGGAGAGGAGGCGGCTCCGCTGGGCCCTAGGTCGGGGGTGGGGGGACCTCGGAGCCAGGCGCCCCTAGCCTTTTGCCTCGGCTCAGGGGAGGGTGCTGGGAATCTCTGGGGCTGTTTTCATCTTGAGATGCCCCTCCCCCCTCCTCTCCGCCTCCTCCCTCTCCCCATGGCCCCTTTACTGTGACTTCTAATGCTCAGCAATGACCTTTGGGGTCTGTGGGGTGGGGGGGCGCCCTCTTGGACCTGTTTTTAAATCTGGGGGTTGGGGTCTGGACTAAACTCCGTCCATGTCACTCACAAGGTTCTGTTTGTATTTCTAACTTTTTTTTTTAATAAAAGAAAATAGAAAATTTCACACCCTAGGGGCCTGGCACGCAGGTCTGTGCTGAGGTTGTTCTGGGTGTACACACACACACACACACACACACACACACACACACACACACGCACCCCACACTGTTCTGCCCTCCACTCACCCCACATTCCCTCCACTCTCACCAGCTCTCCCCACACACCGTTTTGCCCTATGCTCACCCCGGACTCTCACCCTGCCCCACAGTGATGCAGCCACAAACAGTTACAACCATAGAACCAAGCAGTAATACAACCCAATGCCACATTAAGGCACATAGCCTCCTGCCCACGGAGTCACAAAAGTCTTACAGAGTCTCACAGGGTCTCTCACACAGTCTCACCTAATCTCTGTCCCCTCTCCATCCAAGTCTCACACACATGCATACACACCCATACATACACATGCACATACATACGTACACACATGCACACATACACCTGTGGGTTTTTGGTTCCATTCCGTTTTGGGTTTTTAACTTGACAGGGTCAGTTCAGTTTCACCCCCGTCTTTTGTATGGAGTTCAGTGGGGAGATTTCTCCTCCCCTCTCCAGCCCCGGGGCCTCCTGACCCTGACGTTGTGATACACCCCACAGAGATCTATGTTTCTTATATTATTATTAATTATTATATTATTATTATGTAATAAATTTATAAGAAACGAATTGGTTTCAGTTGCCTTTGTAAAGGGACGTTGGGAGCCCCAAAAGTCAACTGTTTCCTTCCTCTATCTCTGAGAGTGAAATTGCTGAACAGTTCGGTGGGACCCAAGCCAGCATTTCTAGAGAACTTGTCCTGAACCGTGCACTGCCCTCCTGCAAGGCAAGAGCAGAGAGTCAAAGAAAGAGCATCTTACCGCTAGGAGCTTTCATATGCTGGAGGTAGGGAAGCGGGTTCAGCACACACACACACACACACACACACACACACACACACACACACACACATACACACACACACAAATTGTAAAGGAAAGGGGAGGGGAAAAGCCGGCTAAGAACACCTGAAGAATTATTGTTGAGATTCTTAGAAGTGCCCAGGAGACAGAATCCTAGAAAGGGGCCAGCAGTAAAGCCCATGGCTCCCAATGTCTAGTCACAAATCCACCAACTATAGGCCACAAGCAAAGTTCACTAGAAGTTCTACTGCAAGGAGGCAGGTTGGATCTTAGCGGCATCCCAGAAATATGGTATCCAAACCAAGATGTGGCCAGGACTCTGGTGGAAGGGTAGAACTCACCAGGGACAGGAGAGATGTAACAGGTTATGACTACATCATAAGAAATGACGAAAGGGATGGATTCGGAGAAACCTGGGAAAACCTATATGAACTGATGGGGCACAAAACCAAGAGGACATTTCATTTGACTGCAGTACTGTAAAGGAAAGCAACTGGGCCAGAGGACAGAATTCTGACCAGTTCCAGGCCTAATCTCAACGGCAGAGGACCAATGATAAATACCAATGATAAAGCTTCTCAAGTCTGTCTCGGCAGAGAAGTCACAGACTGAGGTGCACATGTTCAGACATAGTCAGTCAACCAGCATGTATGAAGTACTAAGCCTTGGGATACATAGAAAGGCCAGAACAGAAGTGGGAGAAGAGTGGGAAGGAGAGCTCTGGAAGTCGCTGCTCTTCTCAATGAAGGCATTCTCATGAAAAGATTCAGGGGCTAGAGTGGGAAACATTCGGGTGGAGATGAGTGGAGGGCCAGACCGTGTTGTTGCCCAAGTAGCTAAAGAATGTTAGGAGCTTACATTCTAATGAGAAAAACTAGCTACATACAAGATACAGACTAGATAGAAAATAATCTCAGAGGTGGAGGGAGGAGATGAGTGGAGGCCACTGTGTTGTGACCCCATATGGGGTCCCAACCCCCAGTTTCAGAAGCCCTGAGTGCTTGGAGGGGAGTCACGGGGAAGAACAACGGGAATTTGCTTTGCTCCCCTCTCCTTCCAGATGTAGGTCAGATATGGCCCCTTTTCTCTTGATGCAATGTCTGGTTAGCAGGCAGGGCGTGGTGAGTGGTGTGAGTCATCTTGGGACACAAACCAAACCTGAAAGGCTCCAATACTACCACCCAGTGGAGCTGCAGCATCTTTTAGGGAAAAGCTAGCCTAATCCATGAGGGGTAGGGGTGGGGGTGGGGAGAACCCTGGGTGGTGTCAATCAGTCTTGGCACATGCCACCCCATGGTGAAGTTCCCAAGGCTCTTCAAGGCCAGTGGTGTCAAACTCAAATAGAAATGGGGCCACTAAATCATATACAAGCATCTCTATGGGCTGCATATTGGATTAGTTTTGAAATGTAATGTTATTTATGTTTTATTATATTTTATTTATTTTATTAAATATTTCCCAATTATATATAGAAGGTTCTGGCTACACTGGGGTCCTGTATTTGACACCACTATTCTAGAGGACCTTTCACCATTTAAATGCTTTTGGGACATTTAGGCAACTAGGTGAAGCTACAGTGGGAAGAGTGGCAGCCTTGAATCAGGAAGACTCATCTGCCTGAGTTCAAATCTAACCTCAGACACTTACTAGCAATGTGACCCTGGGCTAGTCACTTTACCCTGTTTGCCTTAGTTTCCTCATCTACAAATGAGCTGGAGAAGATGACCCACCACTCTAGTATCTTTGCCAAGAAAACCCCAAATGTGGTCACGAAGAGTCAGACGTGACTGAACAACAATAATGGTCGTTTGCTAGACAATCTTCCTGGCACAGGCAGTACTAAGGAGATAAAGAGAAAGAAAAAAAGTTACAAGTACCATTCATCCCAAGAGTCACCAAAAATAGAAAGGAGAAAAAGGTGAAGGAGGACAAATATGCCAAACCCTCTGTTTTGCTTCCTTCAGAACGTTCAAGCCTCAGATCTTGCCAATTGGGTTCACGTGATGGGTGGTGTTGAGACTTCTCCATTGGTATTGGCCTTCCTGATAAAGGGTAGTGACAATGACACCGGGCATGGTCACAACACAGGTGATGCCACTTCTGCCACAGCAAATACTTCTTCTGCACATGTCACTTGTAGTAAAGTGCCTAAAGGGTCATATATGTCTCTTGCATACAAGTTGTCCTGGGCTCCAAGCTGATACTGAGGGTCTCCCTCCTGGGCTCTTCTAAGTATCTCAACCGTAATTCTTCTACCTTGTTTCTTTTCTGTTTGTAGTTCTTGAATTTGGCAGATATTCTCACCTGAATCCTAGACAGAATCCTAGAAAGGGGCCAGCAGTAAAGCTCATGGCTCCCAATGTCTGTTCACAAATCCACCAACTATAGGCCACAAGCAAAGTTCACTAGAAGTTCTGTTAACTTATATTAACTTCACTAGAAGTTAGTCTACTGCAAGGAGGCAGGTTGGATCTTAGAGATGTCCTAGAAATATGGTATCCAAACCAAGATGTGGCCAGGACTCTGGTGGAAGGGTGGAACTCACCAGGGACAGGAGAGATGTAACAGGTTATGACTACATCATAAGAAATGATGAAAGGGATGGATTTGGAGAAACCTGGGAAAACCTATATGAACTGATGGCGCACAAGACCAAGAGGACATTTCATTTGACTGCAGTACTGTAAAGGAAAGCAACTGGGCCAGAGGACAGAATTCTGACCAGTTCCAGGCCTAATCCCAACTGCAGAGGACCAATGATAAAGCTTCTCAAGTCTGTCTCGGCAGAGAGGTCACAGCTGAGATGCACATGTTCAGACGTAGTCAGTCAACCGGCATTTATAGAATGCTAAGCCCTGGGATCCACCCACTCAGTAAACAATAGGAGGACACTCTCGAGGTCTCTCTTAAGAACTTTGGAATTGATTGTGTGACGTAGGAAACACTGGCCTAGCATCGCTCACCATGGCGTGCGCTCATCAGAGAAGGTGCTGTGCTCTATGAGCAAAGTGGAATTGAAATAGCTCCAGAGCAATGCAAGAGGCACAGATTTAGAGAATCCACCCCAAATGTTTACACGGAGTATTTGTGCCCGACCTGAGCTCCTCCTATCGGTCTGATCAGCCACAGTCGGACATACTGTAACTTGACTCTAACATAGCGATATCTTTTGGTCCTCTTTGAGAGGAAAGCACAACAGCCATTCCCTGCCTTACCCACCAAAACCTCCCCCTCCTTCAGAATCATGTCAGAGGCAGGATAGCCCATCTGTGTCCCCTTCAGGTCTCATGTGGAAAGTCTCTGCCCTTCTTCCTCAGGGGCCCATCAGAATTATAACATGAAGTCAGCAGGAACTCAGAGGTGCCAAACTCGCTGCTTGCTGGCAGAACCAGATGAAAATGTAATTAGAAAATCTTTAACAAAATAAGTAAAAACACAATACAACGTAGTATTGATGTGGAGTTTTCTAGGTCAATGTGAGGTTCCAGTTTTACACCGCTGGCCTGAAGGTTCTTCTTTCTTCCAAGTAAATGCTTCTTCCCCACAAGGAGACTTGCGCTTTTCCTATGCAGTTCCTCCAAACCTTTCCTGGGACAGTTATCCAAACCATCTCAGAGGAAAAGAGGAGACCCAGAAATCCCTGGGAGGGGCAAGGATCTTGAGACCCATGTCACTAAGCCCAGGAAGGGAGAAGAAGCAAGGGCCACAGGGGATCAATTGACCCTGGGTCCCAAACCCACAAATTACATGCGACAGTTTGAAGAGTGTTGAAGGTTTACAGCCATACACCTGATCTTGAATCCACCCTGGATGCCTCCCACCATTTGCTGTCCTTGCTCTGACACAGGTGCTGCTGAACCAGGCTGGAGAAAATCATGAATCTATGCTGACTGGGTCCACTATAAATTTACATTACATAACATCAACATTCCACGGTGGGCCCCCCCTCTTCCTTTTGTGTATTGTCTCCCCCAAATTAGACAATGAGCTTCTTGAGGCAGGGACTGTCTTTACCTTTCTTCAGATCCCTAGACCTTAGCACAGTGCCTGGCACATAGTAGGTGCTTAATAAATGTTTACTGATTGACAGATTAGGCTTTAAATTAAATAACTATTTGGGGGACTATGGGAAGATAATATGAGGACTTTGGGGTCATACCTGACAAAAAGATTGATTTTTTTTCCATATCATAACTTGGAGATGGGTCACTAAATACAAAGAGGCTCTAAAATGAGGTATTAAAAACTGTATAGGAGATGACCAGAAAAAAAGATTGAAGCAGGAAAAGCTGAGTGTGAGGACTTGGTGATAGGAGATACAGAAGGCCGTGCATGAGAGAAGCTACTTACAGAAGATAAAACACAGGAACTGATAGGAGCTGAAATTGTCTAGGTGACTCAAGCTATTTTGCTGGGAGCCATGATGATTGGAAGAGAGGCACTGATTTGCTGAGAGCGGATTAGGGGGAAAATGGATGTGTTAAGAGAGAAAGGATTGGAATCAGAGCAGCTTTGTACCTTGTAGAAGCTGATTGGAGAAAAGCAGGGCCCTCTGCTTATTTGAAGAGCTATCTAGCCTTATTTCTCTTTATTGCTTTCAACAGCCTAAGAGAAGGGGAACTTTTCTAGGGGTGGCTGCATTACCTTTCATTGCTTTCTATAGTTTAAGAGAAGGTAAAGGGGAGAGACTAGCTTTGCACCTGTTTTGAGCTATGCTGATATCTTTTGCCAAAAGAGTGTAACACTTTTCAGCACCCTGCTAAGAGC